TCGATACTCCACCTTTTACATCAATGAAGGACGATTGGACAGATGGCCGTCTGCTGATCTCTGCTTTTCAGGCTTTCTGACTAATCATAACCTATGGGGGTTTCAGGAGATATACTCAGTCTTGCAAGTTCTGCAGTGTAATGTATTTCTAAGTTGTACCCTGTCCTTGTCCCTGTCTCTGTTTGTAATGCAGAAGATTTATACTGGTGAGATGTTGTTGACCCTTTGTATACAGTATCTGTCGAGATATCAACGATAATGGTAAAACAGGAGAAAGCAAATTATTAATGCACACTCATGAAGTGAACAAATCAGGTCACCGGCAAAAGAAACATCAACAGTAAACAAAAAGTCACTTTTGGCCTAAAATTGAACTCCTCTAATTTAAAATAGCTTCATTATGTTTTGACTAATTCAGAAACAGTCTTGAATAGTGGTTTTGTAGAGTGCGGTGGATAAACTCATTAAAAAGGCAAACCTATCGTTGGTGCTGGGCACGTCGTCGTGGCGCGAGCAGTTTCATGATGCTGTTTCGCTTAAAGTCGGTGAGCACGCGTCTTCCTTCAAACATTTAAAATCAAGTGTCCTGATGAGGGCAGCATCTCTGTTGATTGTACACAATGTTAAGCATTAATCCGTTTTCTACCCCTTTCCTGAATTTGACCTCAACGATTTGATTTTTATTAAATCTTCTATTGTACTGTGATAATGATAACGATCTGAATATGGTTTGAAACGTCGGCAGTTTCTGTGATGAAATTTGCATGCAAAATAATCTGCAAGAAACATGAAGTCCGCATGTGAGAGAATGTTAGTTTTTAGGTCACATATTTCTGTGTTCCACACAGCACACCTGACAAATCACCATTGCACTTCAGCATTGATGGATTGGTACCCAATTGGCTGCAAGCGCCAGAATGGTAAACGTCGGCTCAGATGGAGCAATGAGCTGAAAGTGAGATGCGCCAATCTGTGTGACAAATTGCAGGGAACAGGGAACATGGGCATAGAAACTACGCAATAGTGACCCCTCAATAATTACGGAGAAAATTGAGTCAATTGACTGTAGTTGCTTAATCCGTTCCTGTATAATTTGCACCTAGTACTTCCGTACTTGAGGCAACTTACCAGTTAAGAGTCAAGAAAGTACCCTTCGTCTTGTTTCAGATACGGATGAACCTGAGAAGAGTGGAGGAATTCCAGGAAAGGCTTTGCCGTTTGAATACTTCATGCACTACCTGTCTTTGCCCTGGAAACTTCTTACTGCAGCATGTCCACCAACAGGTACCAATTCTTCGAATGAATCACTCCCATAAATGAAATGTTTGTTTGGCAAAATTCACTATATAAAATTGATAAATACTGATAACA